GATTTTTTTATTTTAAAATCCCGAGCAGCTCAACCCAATAACTCGGTGTGCGTACAGCCAACGCATATAATTTTTTTATTTCATTACAATCCCAAGCAGCTCAATTCGATAACCCGGCGCGATTACAGCCGAACAACTTGATTTTTCTAATTCAAAATCCCGAGCAGCTTAACTCAATGACCCAGCGCGCGTACGGCCAGCGGGATTAATTTTTTTATTTTAAAATCCTGAGTAGCTTCATCCGATAATCCGGTGCGCTTACAGCCGACCAACTTGATTTTTTTAAATTAAAAATCCCAAGCAGCTTAACCCAAAGACCCTGCGCGTGTACAGCCAGTGGGATTGATTTTTTTTTTTTTTTAAATATCGTCCAGCTTAATCTGATATGCCAGTGCGCTTTCTGTCAGCGTCACTAATTTTCTAATTTATAATCCTAAGCAGCTAAATTCGATGACCCGGCGCGTTTGCTGCCAGCGCGATTAATTTTTTTGATTTAAAATCCCGAGCAGATTAACCCAAAGACCCAGTGTGCTTACAGCCAACGCGATTGATTTTTTTTTTTAAATCCCAAGCAGCTTAATCCGATATGCCGGTGCGCTTACAGCTGAACAACTTGATTTTTTTAAATTAAAAATCCCAAGCAGCTTAACCCAAAAATCCTGCGTGCGTACAGCCAGCGGGATTGATTTTGTTTTTTTTAATTCCGACCAGCCCAATCCGATATGCCAGTGCGCTTACAGCCTGCGGGAATAATATTTTTAATTTAAAATCCCAAGCAGCTTCATCCGATAACCCAGTGCGCTTACAGCCGAATAACATGATTTTTTTTATTCAAAAAATCCCGAGCAGCTTAACCCAATGACCCAGCACACGTACAGCCAATGCACTTGATTTTTTTTTTAAATCCCCAGCAGCTTAACTGAATAACCCAGCGCACGTACAGCCAATGCACTTGATTTTTTTTTTTTTTTTAAATCCCCAGCAGCTTAACCCAAAGAGCACGGTTCTGCTGCCTATTAGCCTAGCGTCTTGGGGGTTCTCTTCTATGGTCCAGGTGTCGTTTTTGATGAGACTCTTGATTTCGTCGCACATCGCTAGAAGCCACTCCTGTTTGTCTGGACCGGTCAGTGCCCCTTCTATATCCACTTCGCTGGCGCTCATGGCACTCTCACCTCTGCGAGGGTCATTTGAGCGAAAAGTGACGTGCCCGTTGAACGTATCTGGACCGCTCGGATCCTCCAATGATACGGGGAAACCGCGGAAATCCTCCTCATCCGGATCTTCCTGGTCCAATTGGTTGTGTTTCCGAAAACCGTGGAACGGAGGTTCATCCCCCAAACTCGAATTCATTCGATTTACGATGCAGTTCGGATTCTCGGTGTCGACCGGGACGCCCTCCGGAGCAGCGGTGACGGACTCTCCTACTACGTCGACGACGTTCGTGTTGGTTGACTTGTCCAGCTCTTCCTCGTCGACCAGGTCCTCCGGTGTCAAGGAGATATCCGCAGTCTTGTTCATGAATTTCAAGTCTCTCAAACATACGACCTTCTTAGCGAGCGTAAGCCAGACACGATAAGCCTTTGAGTCATCGGAGTAGCCGAGGAAGACGCCCTCCAGTTCGCGATCGTCGAATTTTCTCTTAGTTATGGGTCCTTATTTAAAATGAAGATCTTTTCATCGAAGGATCGCATGTGTGAGATACGTCTGGCTTTCTTCCGGTCCACTCTTCGTAGGGAGTGCAACCAACGGTCTCCGAGAAACATCTGTTGCGAATATAATTGGCAGTTGCAATAGCCTCTGCCCAAAAGTAAGCGGGTAGGCCCGACTGAGCCAGCAAACACCGTGCGGTCTCGACGAGAGTGCGATTCTTCCGTTCGGCTAAACCGTTTTGTTGAGGCGTGTGTGGCACTGTGAATCGACGCTTGATCCCGGCGTCCTTGAGAATCTCGTCCTGCTTCCCGTTTTTATACTCCTTGCCACCGTCGGATTGAAATTCCTTGATCGAGTTCCCGGTCTGATTTTCAACCGTGCTCTTGAACTCAACGAACTTCTTGGTTACCTCACTTTTCTCTTTCATTGGATAAACGTAGCAAAAGCGAGAATACTTGTCCATGAAGGTCACGAACCACCTTGCGCCGCCCCTGGACCTGGTCCTTATCGGTCCGCATACATCCGAGTGCACGACTTCAAGGGGTTTGCTTGCGTGTCGTGATCGAGACTGAAAAGGTTCGCTGGTCATCTTCGCAACTGCACACGTTTTACAGTTACTGATGTCATTTATCTTGACATTGTCGATGCCGTTCACGTGTCCCCCTTTTATCATTATTTTTAGGTCTTTTGCATTCAAATGCCCGAGCCTGGCATGCCACTCGGTCATGTTGACTACGTTCTTGGCAAAAGTAGACACGTGGGGAGACTCGTCGGTCCCACGAATGTAGAATAAGTCGCCAACACACTCGGCGCGCGCGTGAACTTGACCGTCCACGTCGAACACTAAGGCACGTCGTCTGCTTATATCGATGTTGAAACCTGCGTAGACTACCTTCGCGACTGAGACGAGATTCGTTCGGAGGTTAGGCACATACAGAGCGTTTTTAAGAGTTATGTTAGGCGTTTCGTCTTTCGACACGATGTTTACATCGCCCCTTGCACGCACGGCCGCCGTTGCGTTGCTTGCCAATTGTAGGCTGCCGTTGATGCTCGTTAAATTAATGAATGCGCTTTTGTCTCCGCACACATGTGACGTGCTGCCACTATCGAGGCACCAACGTCGTTAGAATTTCCGCATGCTCGGCATTCAATATAATACGTCGTACCAAGGCCTAAGGGCTTACTAGTAGTCGCATCCAAAAGAGATAATACATTTTTGCAATGCTTGCAAATTAATTGATGTGCAATCATTTCCATGTTCACAATTTTACAACCTTCGTCTTTCAGATTGATGTATTTTGATGGTTCGCAAGATGCAAGTGTAGATTTGACTGCGGTTTTGAGGTTACGCGCTTGTTTACAATTTTCACGGCGAACATTCCACACGTTTCGGCCGGCTTTTTGCTGATTAATGCGTGCATTACATACTTTCTCGCTTACCCTTACACCTTTCCAAAAAAACTTCTTATTTTTTTCTTTGGGCATGACTATTTTATTAACTAAAAAAAAGATACACACGCTTCTCCTTTTGCTACAGCTGATCAACGAAGTGCTCCTTCTATGATGCTCTGAACACACACTTACAGGCACACACACATGACCGCAAAGCGACGTTGCCAGATCGTTCTACTACACAAATCAAAAAGTTTCATGACTCTTGCGGTACCTGTACAACTACCTTAAAGCAGTCGGCCTCCTTGTGCCCTTTCTTACAAATCCGCATTTGTATTTGGGTTCCTGCTTTGTCTCCCGTGATGTGGCGCTGCCGGACTTTGATTGCGCAATGGAGCCACTTTTTGCGCCTGTTGGATTTTTGAGTCCTATCCTGGTCTGGCAAACATGGCCGAACTTTCGAGATCCTCCTTTCTCCTATGGCGGGAGTTATATTCTTCGAGAATCTTAATTTTTAAGATCTCAAGGTTAGGAAGGGTATCGCGTGATTCGATGGCGCATCGAAAGTTTTCGAATGTCGCCGGAAGGCTATGTAACAGCATGATTGCGAGTAAGTCGTCGTCCAGGTTCGCTCCTGTTGACTTTAATTTGTCGGATGCATCAAAAAAAACTTTAAGATGATCGACTACACTGTCACTTTCCGCCATTTTGTGCTGCGTCAGTCTCTTGTAGAGCGCGGCCTTCCTGGCCGGAATTTTGGAGGCGTACGTTGACTCCAACTTTTGCCAAACATCGTGGGATGTGATGCAATTTTTGATCTCCTTTAGTTCGGATGGTGCGATTGAGAGGATGAGATCGGATTTGGCCTTGCAGTCTTTCGCCAGCCACATTTTGTGGGTTGTCTCGGCCGCGGCCTGGGCAGAGGCGTCCGTCCCCTGCGCGCTTGGGGCTGAGTCTGAGATGTAGTCCCAACCGTCGTTCTTGATGAGAAGAGCTTCTACTTGAATTCTCCAAGTATCGTAATTCTCTCTGGAGATTAATTCAAAACGCGGGGTGTGCGATACGTATTGGCTGTCCGCCATGATGGATGCGCCGACACTACGGGAACGGTTAAAGGAAACCTTCACTCCCGGTTCTTTTTTTTGTTGCAAACTTATTTACTCGTTTGACCGCGTTTTCATATGGTACCTCGCTTTCGGTTCTCTGTTGCGATTACCTGGGCCCATAACCTGATAAGAAAATTATGAAAACGAACGTACGAAATACAAATTATTTATTAGACATGTTCTCTCTAGCGAGGTACAAAAGAAGTGAGGCCTTGGTAAAAAAAAAAAGAAAATTAGTAATACAATGAAATATATATGTAGATGAAGGCAATCGCGACATCTAGCGAAATCGAGAATAATGTAGATTAACACATGAATTAGTAAACTGAACAAAAAAATACAAAAGTATAAAATTAAAAATGTTAATTTAATATAAAACAATTTTCAATGAAACGTAAAATTACGTTTTAAAAAATTCAATATTTACAATTCCAAGTATATATATTCGACTGCTAGAAAGTATTTTTTCCATTCACAATATCTCTTTCAATCGTTTTTTGAGCAATTCTTCATCCAACCTGTGCTTGCAAAGGTATTGCCCTTCCAAAAATAAAACAGGTATTTCGTACCTGTATAATTGCTTTAAATGTTCACATCCAGGTGCCATGATATCGATTAATTCTAATTGATACTGTCCACTAAACTTCAGTTCGAGATCATTTTTCATGTGGTCGCACAACGTACACTGATCTCTTTTTGTATACATTGTTAATTTTGGTGGATTCGAACGAGCATGAGACCTATGGCAGATGATGATGATATGAAGGATGCTTAAATAACTTTAGTTGCAGGTAAGAAAATAATTTTTCATAACATAGATGACTTTATTTGTCAATATAAAACATTTACCAGTCGTAGAAAAATAGTACATAACATTGTTATAAAATATAAATATAGTTTTAAAAAGTCTGCATGTATACATGTTGCAAAGATTAGTGGTATCACAAGTAAATGCACAATATGTTATAGAAAATTCTCGACAAGTATCCCAATAATCGAGACAGAGTTTTCAACAAGTTAGTTTTAAAAAAAAACTTACAGTTTCTGTATTAAAATTGACGACGCTCCACCACCTCCGTTGCAGATGGAAGCAACACCTTTCTCACCCGTTTTCAAAGCGTGCACCAAATGCACAATGATTCTCGCTCCGGACATTCTGGAACAATATTCAAAATATTGACAATGACACGCTATTAGATTTCATACAGCGGAAGGTAAGTGTAGATCATATACATACCCAATTGGATGTCCCAATGACACAGCTCCGCCATGAGCGTTGACTTTGGCGGGATCAATGTCCAACAGCTTTTGATTGGCAACTGCAACCACACTGAACGCTTCATTGACTTCCCACAAGGCAATATCGTTTTTGTTAACACCAGCATTTTTCAACAGCTACGAAAAAACATTAGTCATTCTACGGGATCATACCTAAATGATAATTAGATCAGCAGTACTTACAGTAGGAATAGCTATAGCTGGAGCAATGGGGAAGTCAATGGGATCAGTGGCAGCGTCTTGGAAGCCAACGATTCTAGCTAATGGTTTGAGATTTAATTTTTGGGCGTTATCAGCTGTAGTTAAAACAAGGGCTGCTGCTCCGTCGTTCAGCGTTGATGCATTCCCAGCTGTCACCGTTCCATTCTCCTTCTGAAATTGTCAAGTTAGCGGCTAATGTTACAAATCAAAAAACAGTTCTGATCAGTACCTGAAAGACTGTTGTTAATTTCTTGAACTTTTCAAAGTTGACTTTCTTGTACTCTTCATCGGCAAAAAAAACAACGTCTGGCTTTCCTCTTTTCTGAGGCACATTGACAGGCACTAATTCATCTTGAAAGATACTTTGCTCGTAAGCTGCGGCACTCCTCATGTAACTACTTATGGCATATTCATCCTGCTGCTCTCGAGTGATACCCAATTTCTTGGCCGTATTTTCCGCACAATTGCCCATGTGGAATTTGTTGTAAACGTCGGTCAATCCGTCAAACACAATACCGTCCTACGAGAAATTGTTTTACCGTGAATTTCGACTGGAAATAATCTTTGGCAGATTTGGATACCTCAAGTTTGACACCCCCGTATGTGGTTTCTCCACGTTTCAGGTAAAATGGAACATTTGACATGGACTCCATGCCACCAGCAAGAATGACTTCTTGGTGTCCACACTGAAGGGCTTGAGCTCCTAACATTACACTTTTCATTCCACTTGCGCATACCTTGTTAATGGTCGTACAAATGGTGGATTTTGGAAGACCTAAGCCACAATTTACAAAACAAAGTTTTGACTTGTACCATACATTATTCTCTGCTCATACCATTAGAGAGAGAAAAGAACAACAATAAATACTGACCAGCAAATAAAGTTGCTTGCCTAGCTGGGGCTTGACCAAGGTATGCCTGACAGACATTGCCCATATAAACCTCTGTCACCTGCTCTTTGGCAATAGAAGCTCTTTCAATAGCAGCCTGTAAATTTCGTTTCAAGTACATAAAGAATAATTGCTTTACCAAAAAACTATTGTGACTGTATGATAAGTTTTATTCACTTGTATGGCTACGGCTCCAAGTTTTGTAGCAGACAACGAGGACAGAGAACCCAGGAAAGATCCCATCGGAGTCCTAACAGCACTGACAATAACAACATCTTTCAAGTTCCCTTGGGAACTGGACAATCTTTTCTGCAATGCACCAACCTAAAATACAACTTTATATAAGCCAGACTGTATAAACTTTTTTTTTTTATTTGAGTATAATTTTTCATTTAAAAATGAACCAAAAAAAGAACGTGAAAAAACGAAGTATGAAACAATGATATTATTTTTTCATTTTATGCAACTACTTTGAAATATTGAAAAGTAAAACTTCTTAGTTTGAATCGCCTGTTGTTTCAACAGGTGGCCAAGAGTAAATGTATGTAAATGCATAAATAGGTACATACTGAATTGATTTTCTGTAACAACACTAGTGATCCAAACATCTTATAATAATCAATAAATATGTTTTTTGATATGTGCATTTAAGTATGGGTTCAATTATATGTTTATTGTATGTACATCTGTGCCAAAAAAATGATGAGTTGTACAGCACAACAATTCAAATAGAAAATAAAGTTAAATTATTTCTAATCATACAAAGACTATAATAAGTTAACATGTATTAAATAAGCCATTTACATTTTGAAATTTTTATCAACAAGTGCAAACAGGTTTTGCCAAATAAGCATCCGCTACAGAAACGAATGATTGATTAAGTTTACTTACTCTGCCAAAAGAAGACATTTTTTATGTGTTTATTACACAATTATGGTTTTTTCTCAAAGATACAATTATACAGGGTAGCAGCTATATAACGAGCAAAGCTGACTATGTATTGTTCCACAATCAGCACTTAATGTTAATTCATTATCAGACATTCAAGACTGGAGTGTGCATATCAACCACAGAGGTATAAGAAGACGTATTCTTATACTTCTATGATATCAACTCTCGACAATATATAATATATACTTGAACCGGTTGAACGAGCAAAGGAGTACTGGTACTGGACACTGATACATGTTGTACGTTGTGTGTATTCATATACAGGTAAGATTTAGATGTATTTGTGAGCCAGCGTTGCCAGAAAGCCAGAAGCCACAAGTAACTTGGATTGGAACACAGAATATATAAATATGTTGTTGAAGCAGTTTTGGAGTTGGGAGATAACACAGACACGCATCAGACAAGATATAAAATATGCAACAACGATAAACATCGGTTAGATTGACTTTATTTTGCCTCGAATTCGAGACTCTCACTGCAGTACGTTGAGATTAATTCAATTTATTTTGGGATAAGAAAAAATACTTGGAATCATTATAGCTAGTTTGACGGCAAAAATTTTATTTTAGGGCCAGTGACGAAAAATATTACTTTTTTTTGTTAATTCTGCAAAACTAATAAGTTTAAATTTTCAATTTAAGAACATGTATTTTTTTTTTTAACATCATTCAGATTGAGAATTTTAATCATCACTTTCTTTAATTCCATATAGTTTATATTATATATTTTCTATGATACAAATTGAAAATTTAAATTGTAGAAATTTAAAATAGCTCCCAATGCTTGTCCAGATAATATTATAAAATAGCATTATAATTAAATTCAAAAACTACAAAAATAATAAAATACAAGCCTGATGTTATCTCATTTTCAATACTTGCAAATGCCAACACTCTATGAGACAGTTTAAGGAATCGAATGAATTTAATTATGTATTTTTCTTCTTGGAAAAACTGTACGCATTCTCAAAGTATTTAGTATTGTAAAGTTGCGTCCCCACCTTTTTTAAACTACAATAATTGTACAAGAGGAATATTTTTTGCAAACCACATAACAAGTTTTTCTTGTTTCAAAGATGCTATTCATAAAACAAGAAAAATAAATTCTATAAAATTTGCCATGGGAACCGATTGAAATTTTCTGCAGAGAGTTTTATCGACCGAAATTATTTTTTTCCAAAGTCACGACAGAAATTAGATGATAAAAGATATTACATCCTAAAAGAAAGGGGCTACATTGGTGTTACGGGCGGCAGACTTAGAAATTTTTACTTTTGACATCACCTGGAGGCCATCTACGGCTTTTTAATTTTTTTCACGCCCTAGAATCATGAACTCTTCAACGTAAGCATTGCTCTTTTCTCGCAATTTGAGGGACTTTTATCCCATTTTTTTTCCCAAAATGAAACTCAAGAGTAAGTAGCCCGTGACGATTTTAAACAAAGTACATCTTCACGAAGAATCGAGTAATCGATTTGTACTGATGGGTATAATATAACTGGTAATCGTATGGCTGATATGAGTGCTGGGGTGACATTTAATTTTTATTTGGTGCGTGGGACTTGCGATTTCATGACGATGTCCTCAGAGACTAAATTCTTGTTAGGGCAGTTACAGTGTGCTCAAAAAATTATAACTGATTTTGGTCACAAACCATACCAAAAAAATATTAGAAAACTCATAAATCCATTTTTAGTCTTTGTACATTTCAGCCTTCAACATACAAGGTTTTTCGCGTTTTTTTTTTTTTTTTTATTTACTTTGTCACACATTTGGCTCATTTTTAATAAAAAAAAAAAAAAAAAGATCTCTACTTTAAATTGAAATTAAATTTAAAAAATCCTAATCCAAGACGTAGAAAACTACACGGAAAAAAACAGTGATAGTGGATTTTTCGCAGAAACTAGAGAAGCATTTATTTTTAAAGAGCTTCTAAGTCAAAAAATTATAAAAAAAAAAAAATCATATTATTGGATTTATCTAAGTATACATGCACGTACGTGTATATTCATAAAGAGTCCGAAAAAACGAAGGAATTATCAAAAGTACTATAATTCGAATTTACCACACTCTCCTCTTGTAGCAACGACGAGTTGTATGACTTTGCCATGTGATACATTGCATCCTTAATTCCTTATCTACCTTACTGGTTTTTATATTTGCTTTTCTCTTGTGACACATTGTGCAGTGTGGTAATAATGATTTTGCAAAGGGACAGATGCAGGCTTTAGTGTATAAAAGCTTCAAGTTGACTTGAACTATATCTTACATAGAAGAGTTTACTTTACTGTAATATAATACGGTTGATGATTAAATTATGTTATTTAGTTGGTTAAATTATTTTACTTGGTTCACTTACAGCGACCGATTTAAATTTTTATACAGCTTTTTCTTGATAAAAAATGTTGAGTGCCATGCCAAAAGAATATGGAGTGCACGTGATTGTGTATAATTCTTCCCCAATCAACAATTCCAGATTAATTTTTCTCAAATTATCCTAATGTGCTGTACAGTGTACGATAAAATGTATATCCACTGCTTCCTAATTAAGCAAAAGCATAAACTTTGTTATGAGGATCTAAAAAATCAAACAGGACACAAGCCATGAAGAAAGTGAAATGTGTACACTTGTATTTTCAGGACATATTGAATATGAATACTCCATACTTTATTTACAAGTATTTATGCTGTACAGGTAAAAATAAAGAAAAATGGAAATTATATATACCATCGATCAACTATATATAAGTTGGAGTTTCCACAAGATGTATTGCTGATGATGTAAAAAGATAATGTATCATTTGGAGAAGTACCATCAAATTTGGATGAGGCAATAGATCTAATGAAGAGATGATTTACAATTGCAAAATCTGAAAGAATGATACAAGGAAAATCCAAACAGAATAAGTAAAAGGGACTATTGTAACAGCAGTGTTTTATTTCCGGCTTAATCAGGTATTTTGTTGACAAAATGATAATAAACTTATGCAGCAGAACTAAATAAGTTAATGTGGGTAGATTATGTGGTTGGTACGTTTTTTATAAAAATAAAATTCTCGGCATCGATGCAATGATTTAAACAAGTTTTCTGTAATTGACATAAGTAAGATATGCACTTGTATACACTTGTCAGGCTCCAAAATGTGATAGCTCAAGCATGAAGATGGTCCTAACGTTTGACAGCTATGCTACAGTATCTGAAATATTTCTTAAAATTCTCCAAATGTTAATAAAAAGTTCCAACAAATATAAAAACATTAACATTTCTTCTGCACATGGCAATTGTCTATGAAAAGTAGAGACATGTCATTTGAAAGTTACGGATCACACAGATAGTAATCCGTTAGTATCCGAGCATCACACAAATATATGTACCTATTAAAAATGATTACATAATATACTTACATTTAGGGTAAATAAGACTTTATTGTTGGAACTGTTGCAAATCGTCTAATTTGGTTATTCATTCGTTTTTTTATTTGATGAAACACATTTACTTTGCAACTAACCAAAATCATCTAGATTTCTGTTTTCCACTACTGTATACTTCATTGTTAGGATTTAGGACTACTAATCTCTGTTTATTGATGAGTATTGTGCTAAGTATATTTGTCATCTTAATCTAAGAAGTAAACAAATGCGAGAAAAAAAAGTATATATAGGTATGTTCAAGTAATTTAAAAACTAGACCTAACTTCAACTGCATAATAAGTATTCGCGCGCGGGAAAGCCGCTCTCATTGTTTTTGTTTTGTTTCGTTACTCCTCTTCATTCGCAAGTTTGTTGTCACCTGTTGCTCTCATTTGATAAGTACTTATTTGTATTAAATCATTTTATTCGTTCTCAAGTTTTAAGTTTATTTTAAACAATGGTTCGAACAAAAGCGGATGGTGCGTTGAGAGGTAAATGACAAGCACTTTATAAGATTATTTTACTTTCGGCAATACTTAACCTCATTTACAGTATTTTCTCTTGCATTAAAAAAATTAGTAGCCACTTTTAATGTTTGGATGGGATGTTCTTGCATTCTACGTTGATAAACAATAATCAAATGATTGTGTATTTCAATGCATTACTTCAGTTGCTGCTGGAGGTAAGGCACCAAAGAAAAGTTCCAATGTGCCTCGCAGTCCCTCTTCGAGTCCTAGTCCTACTGAAACATGTGAGTTATATTTGGAAAAAAATGGACTAGATGTTTGAGCGATTGATTAAAATTCAACTTTTATATTTTTACAGCTGGTAAGGATTCCTTCCCGGTCAATAAATATTGTCCTAGAGAGATACCACTCTGGCAGAAAAAGATCACGTCGTTCATTAATGGCAAACTAAGTGAGTCTGGAACATCAGACGAGTTATCAGTTTTGACACCAGTTCTCGAAAAAGCTCCTAAAAATAAGACAAGAAAGTCAAAGAGAAGCTCTGCTGTACTGAACGAATCACAAGAAATGGACACAGAAGAAGGTGAAGTGGCTACCAAGAGATTCAAAGGGAATGGTCACTCGCAGGATGATCCTGAAATAAACGTAAAATAATTTTTAAGGCTATTTACTACATGATTTTCTTGATTCAATGGTTTTTATAATTTTATATTTCCTTACAGGAAAAGAATACAAATAACTTGATGGATACAGATGGGTAAACCGTTGTGCAAGTTTTCTCAATATTGATGATTGTGATTTTTTGTATATTTAAGTAAGTCTTTATTTTATTATGCATATTTTACCACTAGTTTCCTTAAAATCGTCACCCTTTAAGATTGTTTTTTGAAATATCAGTGCACTAAGTGAAAATACTACAAATTTCTGAAAATTATTGAGAGTAGTATAGATAGAATTGTTCAAAAGTATAGGAATTGACGTGCCTGACTTCTTTAAAAGCATCAATGTTCTTTTTTTTCAAATTACTTGTATGAAAAATTTTATCAAAGTTAAAAAGTAATGTAAGTATTGAAAAGTGATATTAATATAGTTCAGCTTGCGGGCATAAATAGTTTACTGGTAAACTATCCAAGTAAACATCATTATAAAATGTTTCTACATTACATTGTAATATTTTTTTTTTATATGTATTGTGTAATAATTTTCCTTATAAGTAAGTGCATTTGATTCTAAAAAAAATGTTTTGTACATAAATTATTCTAATTAAAAATAAAGGTTCTTTCCAAGTAATTTTTTTTTATTCATCTTTTCATTTAATAGAGTAAAGCAGCATAACAAATTTGAAGTTTGAAGTGGATTTCACTATAATTATAACTGAACGTTTTATTTGATCTTTAAATAATACTAATGATGATAATAACAATAATAATAATAATAATAATAAAAGTAATAA